AAAACTAAGATATATCTCATAATAGACATATTAGGGAATGTCTTAGGACTTTGAACTTGCTTAGACATAAGTCAAGTGAGAAGCGTAGTCGTTGGTTTCTAAAGTAAAAAGCATATTGTCCTTAGCATGTCCTTGATTCTTTGTTGGTTAACTTGAAGTAGTTCGGGCTAGGTTTTATCATTCTAAGTCCAAATCCCAAATCCAAACCATTATTTGTGACCACTTCCCATTTTACAAGAATCACTCATTCCAATATTCACTATTCTTTAAAACTTTAGAGTTTGGAAATTGTTTAGAAGTCCTTGAGGATCGATACTTGGATACTCCATCCACTTTATATTACTCTGACAGGTGTGCGCTTGCATCTATATAATTGTTACCACGCTTAGCGCGTGCGTTCAGCATAAACGCCCCAGTCATCTCTCATTTGCTGTTTCTTACCGCATCTATTACAAATTGATGCATACCAACCTTTCTCCAAAAGCACTTGGTGTTTCTCCAAAAGGTTACACCATGCTGATGGAAGTCAATATCGAAAAATCTTCAATGACCATTCCAAAGACGCTTTGTTGGGACGAGATTTCCAGAAACATTATTTGGAGACTCCAAGGAGTAACAACCCCCGCTAGAAGAACTAGCACAGAGGAATCAATCATCGAATTTCCAGATGGAAACGTTGAAATACAATTCAATTCTGAGGCAAGATACCCCAGAATTAGAGAAGTCATGAGTAGTCGCCCAAGCATATCTTCAGATGCAAGGTCGGTGAGCTCTATTAATAGATCTGAATCAATGCGAGCGTCGGTAGACTTTACTCATCCTATCCCTGACGTTCATTATGAAGAAAGATCACTCTCTCCTACCCAATCTGACATGGAAAGGAGAACTGAAACCGCTTTCAACCAAATAAACGTTATCTCAAAAACTGAGAAACGTTATGAAGAACTGTACGGCAAATATATCGATATGTGGATTGCCGCACCAAAAGAAACCAGGAAACCTGTCATGAGTATTGGGGATTTCATCTCAAAATTACAACAAAAAGAGCTTGTTAGAAACGAAGCTCTCGTTGAAACGCTCAAAGCCCAAGGACAGGTAGTAGTCATAAAAAATGGCAATGTTTGGGTCACGGCAAGAGGCAAAGAAATAGCTTCCACCTTCCCTCCTGAAGAAGAAGCTACCTTGTCTCACCCAGTGATACCTACCATAAAAATTGTGTCTTCGCCCTATAATACGATAGACGAAGACAATGTCCAGAAAGTTGGTGTTCGAGAAATTAAGAACATTCAGCACCAACTTAACTACTCAAATAAGATTCTTTCTGAAGTTTCTAGAGCTGTTGAAAGAATAGAGAACCCGGTTCTTCCTACTGTCTTGAAGAACCCAGGGATCCCTCAAGTAGACCCCTGTCAACCAAACAGTTTCAAGATTGGATCTCTCAAGGAAGATCCCTCGGATCTCTTGCTCGAGATCAACAAAAGACTTTCTTCTTTGTCTATCGATAAAGGAGACTCTTCCAAGAAAAATGATGTGGTTAAGAGTATAAACGTAGTTGCTGCCATACCAACTACGACTCAATCCTCATCTTCAACGATCCTACCAGTCACCATGCATACGGAAATGAAGAGCCATTATCCTCAACCATCTCCTCCTGATCTAGGATGGGATGATCTCCACCATGATCAACGAGCTTATGACGGAACATCTATAGTCACTTGGAATATCGACGATATTCTGAAGTCCAAATGATGAATACTTTTCAAGAGATGATGATGGCCGCTACAGCCTTCAGCACCAAAAAGACGGTTCTACAAACCGCCCATATCCTAATCTCAGGTCTCTCTAGAAACCTAAGAAGTTGGTGGCATAACCAGCTGACGGAAGAAGATAGACAAAGAATCCTGACGGCAACCAAAACTGTTGTCCAACAAGAAGGATCAAACGCCATGCAAGTTGATGAACCAGACATGGTAAATCAATTAGTTTATGCAATGACAAAGAATTTTATTGGCAGCACTAAAATCTACTCTGACCTTAATGCCGAAGCTCTATTAGGCCTCCGATGTCGGAAGATGAGCAAATACAAATGGTATAAAGACACCTTCCTAACACGTCTTTATACTATTACAACATGCGGAGCAGACATCTGGAAACAAAAATTTGTTGAAGGACTTCCGCATTATATTGCTCAAAG